CAGCTGCTAATCTAGGTCAGCTAGTAAATTTGAGCCACACCCAGTGCGGTATAACTGTACGTGTTTTAGAATACAGTTCGGCTTTTGTTCTGAGGAGCTTATATTATTATTGTTGTTGTTTTTGTTGTTGTTGTTTATATGTAAGTTATATTAATTATACTGTTTTATTTGCTTGCTGTTTTGTTTTTACTGATGTGTTGTTGGGTTTAGCCTCATGTTAGCCGCCCCGAGTCCCCTTGGGGAGATGGTGGCGGGATATAAATAAAGAATTATTATTATTATTATTATTATTATTATTATTATTATTCTCACAGCATTTTGCTCAAACATTTGTGCTGCTCATTTGAAGGAAGATGAAGAAGCCATGCTCTTTGCATTCTATTATTCTTACAAGGACTATGTAAGTTTGTTGCACTGTTTATTTGTATGTTTTGACTCTGCTGACAAGAGTAAAGTTTTCTGTTCTTTTTCCTCTTGCCTTTGTGCAAAGTTATTGCATCTTTTGCATTGGACCAGACTAAATTCCGCTCAAGCGTAACATACATTTCTTAAGTAGTAATTCTGGCATAAAGCACCAAAAAAGGAACGCGGCTTATATATTCCTGCATATATGCATTAATATGTCAGCCTATAAGCTCTGTTCCAAAACTCACCAGGACGCTGATGGTTTCATGTAGGGGTCCACTGGTTTTCAAGCTTTCCTTGCCATTTTCAACGGTGTAATCCCATTCCAAGCCCATTTCGAGGAAGGTGTTGCTCTTTACATCTTTGCCCTTGGAGTTAAGAATGAAGTTGCCAGAAGCTTGGTTCTTAACAGCTGGAGAAAGAAGTGGATAAAGTAAATTTCCTTATTACGTCCTTCTTTGTGCATGGCGGAGGAAAACGATACAAAAGGAATTAAAGTAGAGGCCACAAAACATTCTAGGCTTATGTAAGCTATGGATGCATCTTCACTGTAAATGGAATGCAGTTTAACACCACTTTAATTGCCATGGCTCAATGCTATGGGAGTTTTGGGAGTTGTAATTTTAGCCTTCTCTGCTAAATTGTGCTGGTGCCTCACCAAACTACAAGGCGCATGGCACTCCCACAGCACCGAAGCATGACAGTTAAAGTGGTGTCAAACTGCATTTATTCCACAGGGCAAATGTAAAAATGGATCAACTTTCTAATAATATTTTAATGATTAGGTTAAGATTAGGTCCATCTCAGCTGGGATGGCAAAAATGGCTAAACATATGAGGGCACATTAAAGAATAATAAAGGATCTTACGATTTGAAACCAGAACAGAAAATTAGGCAAAAATTCAAAAATGTCTTGGTTCCAGCACAGACAAATATCAGAGGCATTTAGGAAAGAGAGAGAACTGGGTTTTGAAGATAAGAATTCATTTTGGGATAAAATCATCAAGACAGGAGATAAAGTCATTGCAAAAATATATAAAAATTATTAGGTTGGGCCACTGAAATGGAACAAATTAAGGAGTGCATGGTAAAATGGGCAGTTAACATTGGCCATTCAATTAAATTAGCAGAATGGGAGAAAATTTGGAGTTACAAAATGAAACAAACTTATGCATCAGATCTTAGTGAAAATTGGCTGAAAATGATGTACCAATGGTATATAACACCACAAAGACTATCAAAATGTTACAAAAATATCTCAAATAAGTGCTGGAAATGCAACCAGCAGATTGGTACTTTTTATCATGCATGGTGGACATGTGAAAAGGCAAAAAAAAATTGGACAGATATGCATCATAAAATCCAAAAAAATATTAAAAATTAGAATGAAGCTGGAAACAGAATACTACCTACTAGGGATGTTAAACCTAGAAAAAGAGGAAAATAAAGATGAAGGAAAAGGAAATTATAGAAGCACCCGAAAACCTAAAAGGAGATGGAAGTCACAAGCAACAACTTTTTAATATTTTACATATCTTTATCCTTTTTTTCTCCAATTATTATTTTTATTATTTTTTCTTTTTTTCTTTTTCTCTATCTCTTCTCTTCCTCATTTTTCTTCTATATGATTGTTCCCCCACATTTCATGTACACTGGATATATATATACCTATAATTATATATATATACCTATATATATACCTATAATTTTATTCCTTTGCAAACAAGTTCTCTCTGTTTATATTTATCTCTGTGCTGCTCTCTACCTTCTGAATTTCAAATAATAATAATAATAATAATAATAATAATAATAAGAAGAAGAAGAAGAAGAAGAAGAAGAAGAAGTATTGGCTCTTGCCAATAATTCTAAGAACAACTACAAAACTTAGTTTTGGGCTTCAATCTGTGTAGAGACTTTGCCAGAACCCACTGTCTCCCCTTCTCTCCTGCAGAAAATACTTCTAGAAGATTATCATCATCATCATCATCATCATCATCATCATCATCATTATTAGTATTATTATTCTCAGCAAACAAAAAGAAAAGTTTCATTCTCAGAAAACTCCTACATACCTACTGTACCTACCTACCTATAATTTCATTTCTTTGCAAACAAGTTCTCTCTGTTTATATTTCTCTCTGGGCACTAAAAAGAAAATAAATTCCTAAAAATCAGGGAATGGCCAAAACGTTACGAAACTTGTTGGGCTAACAGTGGTAGATGTGTCCTCCAAGTGTGGTCATTTTCATCCCAATAGCCCTAAAAATGATGGGTAGGGGCAGGGAAGCATGCAAAAACGGATCTGCTGATGTCCTAGAATTTGGCCAGCAAAAACGGATCGAGGTTCAGCCAAAATGCACAAGCCTACTCATATGGGCTTGTTTTCTTCCTCTGTAGAGGTGCATTAATGAATGATACTCCAATACCCTCACTCCTCACAGGGTATGATTTACAACCCTATATCTTCGGGGAAAGGCCAGTATGATACAGAGGTTTTAGTGGTGCTTTATGAATCTGGAAACAAGGGTCATGCCCAGTCATAAAAGTCACAGTCTCAGGGGCAGGCAATAGCAAACCCCCTCTGGTTAAATCTTGCAAAGGAGACCCCATAAGTTTGGAAACTACTTGAAGGTGCACAATAGCAACAACAATTTTAGAAAAGTGCTGCTACATATGTTTACTTTGTAAAGCATTCTAGCCTGATATTCCGAGTTCAGTGCAAATGTTGTTTTTAGGGATTACCCCCACATAATATTTTTCATTGCACACAAAGCCCTGCAGTGACTATTTACACTATAGAACTGATGACAAAATGAAATTGGCACAGGGCACAAAGGGGAAAAACATTCTCAAAATATGAATATAACTTTCCACTCAAGATCAGCAATGTGGAAGTTAATATTCAATAAGTGCTGGCTTGGAAATTACATCCTGCAATTCAGCCAAAGTTAAGCACTCAAAAAACTCACTGAGTTGACTGTGAGATTTTCTCTCATTATGATAAGGATGACTTTAATGCTCACTGGACTGAATCCTAAAATTGTCAACAAGCTCTTTTTTGATAACTAAACTGTTGAAAACACCTCTTTGGGAAAACAATGTAAGATGAGATATTGATTCTCACCCAACTCAATGAACATGTTTGGCTCTTACCAAGTGTATGGGCAGCAGACTCCATCTCCTCAATCTGAACATGCCTGGCGCCAGCTGGAATCTCAAACATTTTCAAAGCACCCACTGAAAATTCCAACAGAAAAAAACACATTCTTAATACTAAAAAAGGCGT